TTAAGCCCTTACACAAACGGGTAGGGCTAGGGTATTTCTATTACCCGGCCCTACCCGGCCCATGCGGAGGCCTAATAGCAATTTCAGGGTGAAATCATAAGAATGGATTGTCTAATCAGATGCGCATTAACATAATCATATTCTTCGTTTCACTTCGTTTTAACGATGAATATGAATTCTGCTTGCTGCCTATTACTTGGCAACAATCAGCCAAATTTTTTACGTGCTATTGGCTTAACTATATTTAATTATTTGATAATCGATCCATTCATGGTCTTGATCCTTATATTATAATTTTTTGATTAAAAGTAGAATTTGTAAAGATTATACTATTAAATGCACGAATATTTATTTAATGAAATGTTAATATTTTAATTTGACACTATTTAACGAAATGGGATACATATTTGAATTTTGGTTATGATCTAAAACTAAGTAGAAATATCGATTCCTAAATCCTAACTAAGTAAAAATGCTGTAACTGAAAAAAAAGAGTTTGGGTCGCAATCCTATACACCACCTTCAATATCCCTAACTATACCTAGGTCACTTTAGCGATAGAGTCGCAAGAGTCCAAAGCCAGATTGTATATTCAAGTCAACACTTTCAACACTATTCAAATACTACTTGAATGCTTTAAATTCATCAACGGCAGACCTTTGGTGATTGATAGATGCTTCCTTTTACCATCAGCTTCATCTTCATACTAAGGACCAAGATTATATTTTTCAATGACATGACCTGATCTCCAATAATAAATACTTGCCGTTTTGCATCTATTCCCTTTTGATGACGAAATCTGTTTAATTCATTTCGGCTTCAATTTTGTTTTCTGCAGATTTTTATGATGCTCGAACCATTTCTTTCATATTCAATGCTTCTATACTTTAATATCGCGAATCTTAAGAATCAGACATCTTTTCTTTCCTTGATATTCCTGGTTTTTTTTTTTTTTTAGATGCTTGTAATGGACGAACAGCGGAATAGTGTCCTTCCTTTCTACTGTTACGCCATGCATTTTCCGTCACAAGTTTTTTTACTAAGGCACATTTCCCCTTCTTTTCTCTAAAAAGTAAAAAGAAAAAATAAGGGTCAGCACATTATGCCATCATCGTGTTCGTTAAAAACCATTAAGAAATAATGATTCGAATCAATTTTCAACAATGAGAGGGTCTACACAGGCGATTCTTTGATTCTTTTCAGCGGCAAGACCAAAGACCGGGCCTGAAAAGCTCACTCAACCGCAGCGTCACTTACACCCTCACCACTAAGCATGCAATACCAAACAAGCATTTAAAAATTAAATACTTGAAGGTGAAATTATCATGTTCGATCATGAAAAAAGACCATTATCACCATTATCTTCATGACCAACGGTACTGGCATTTGATTCTCAACGTTTTACTAAGGCATTTTCTCTAAAAAAAAAAAAAATAAAAAGAAAAATAAAAATAAGAGTAAGCACGTCATATCGTCATCGTGTTCGTTAAAAACCAATAAGAAAATAATGATTCGAATCAATTTTCAACAATGAGAGGGTCTACACGGGCGATTCTTTTCAGCGGCAAGACCAAAGACCGGGCCTGAAAAGCTCACTCAACCGCAGCGTCACTTACACCTTCAATCACCACTAAGCATGCAATGCCAAACAAGCATTCAAAAATTAAATACTTGCCTCATTTGACAAATTTTCTGGATGTTTGTATTAACTCATTCTTTCTTGCACTCGCGAATACAGGAATAACACGCGTATGAAAGACTAAAATACAATACGTAGACATTTTATAGGGCTTAGATCCTGTATCAAATAAGTCCATCCAATCAAATTAATTTTGTACTATAAAATGTATTGTGTTTTCATGTGATTTAAGGCCGATCCATTCAAGAAAACTCAAATTTCGGCAAATTTTATCAAAATTTATTATGTATATATCACTTTTTTTAACAAAAGCGCTCTTTTAGTCTGAAATATAGGTATTGTAGAACACTAGAGTAAAATTTTTAAAGAAATTAATACGTAATTTACTGAGGAGATACAATTTGAAATTTGATAATTTTTTATAGT